GCCAACAGGAAACGATCACACGCTATGTTCCATCAAAAAGACTTCAGGGAGACTCAGTAAACTATCAGGCAGCAGGTTTAAAACAACGGCTGGGAAGAACTTTGTATGGAAAAGTGTTATTAAATCAGATGGCTTGCTGCTATACAACAATATGGAGCTGAAGGGACAGATTTTTTAAGTAGGGATTATACAAATGAATGAAGGGTAGCTGTAGCTATTAAGCACAATAATTCACTTTGCAGTTTCTGCTTAAAAGGTGCCTGCCCCTTGCGGGCTGAAAGTTGCCCAAGAAAGGACATTCTATGTCCCCTGCTTCAACACTGTCCCCAGGCATCAGTTTCCAGCCACTGTGGAGAGCAGGAAACCAGATTAAATGGACTTTTACGCTGGTCCTGTACAGCCATTCAGATAGTTTATTCTTTTCTTTCTGCTCAGTTAGGTGCAAGAAACCAAGGACAAGCAGCATCTCTAGCTATGAAAGCATACTTCTGCCTTTCCCCATCTTCCCTGGGAGAAAAATCAGACTCAGTTCTTGATCTTCCCGTTTGGGAAGATTCCCCTGAAGAGAATTTGGAAAAAACTGCTTTTCTCTTCTCAGCGTGTTGCTCTTTGGTTTCAATAGTGATAATCCACGTGCACTGGTCTATTCAGACCAGCACCACTTTTTCTCTCCTTTATACAAGACTGGGGCAGTACATAGCAAGAGAAATCCTGAATCGTAATAACTGTGTTAATAAGATGTGCATAGAATGTAATGAAAATACTTTCCATATTCATGGATCATCACAGGAATAAAATCTAAACCATTCTTGGACATCCTGGAAGAGAAAAAGATAGTGATTTCTTCTCATTGAAGAAACTGGAAAGGGAAGTAGAACTACCCAGAGATGCTTTAAAACTCAAATGACAGGTAAACATCTTACATAGATAATCACAATTTATAAGAGTTCTATTAATAATATCCCTATTAAATACAAGTAACTAGAAATCTGAAAAGCAAATCTGAAATACAGTTTGGCAGAACTCCAAGAATCCCTGAAGGCAAACATGATAAATCAGCTGGAGTAGTTAAATCTCATATAAACAAAATCTGTATGGTTGATACTCTGTGTAGCTAGTTATCTCCACTCAAATATACGGAAAAGAGTTTGTTTCATACTTGATTTCGGCAATGGATAGTAGTCCCACGACCTCATCTTCAGCAGAATGCATATGATTTTACTGTGTAGACTGCAAAACCAAAGCAGTATAAACACTTTAAGCTATGCATTTTAAACAACAACAACAAAAAGAAAGAAATCTCTGGTTGGAAGGGTTGTTACCAGAGCTATTACCAGCACTCTAGTTTCTGTTCTAGACTAAGTTCTTTAACACTTCAATATTTAAAAAATGTTTCTCTCAATAGCTCCCCTAGAATAGCTTTAAAAAGGGTCACAGTGGTACAGATTCCTCTGCACTCTGAGACCTACTTACTTTACTTTTCCAAAGCCACAACAGAGATTACCCAGCTTCAAACAGTTTCAGATTGCCTCCAGGATAAAATTCCAAGAATGTTGTTACATACAGGCATTGAGGCCACCTTTGTATCCTTGTCCTTTAAGCAGGCAAAGGAAAAACCTACTGTGATACCCATGTATAGATAACCTGCGTCCAAATTTCTGGCAGTAATTTTAAGTAGCTAAGCTGGTATGTTGTCACAGAGAAGAAAGGCAGCAAATTTTAGTGTCCCCCAGCATTATTATAATAGAAGTGAACTCTGAATAGAAGTGAATTCTGTGGACTTGATTAAAAGTTAAAGACATCAGTGGGTCAAGACATACAGTGCATGTTTTCACATGCCATTGCCTTTGATTTTGTTTTGCTGATTAAATATAAACTTCACTCCTGCTATCCTTAGATGTAACAGACACATTAGGAGGGGGATTTAGTGTGCCCAGGATGAGGACAATCAAAATTCTGATACTTAAAATAACTTTCAGCAATCTTGCAATTTTGTTTGTGAAGTCGCTTATAATTTCAATTTCAGAAAATATTTCCAGCATATATTTGCATTTCCAGTAGAGTTTCTACATCCACATAACTGAATATGCTCTGTTAACATTGTCCCGGATTTCTTAAAATGACATCAGAAAAAGTTACTCATTAGCACTTTCTGAAGATGGAACTCGGTCAGAAGAGTTGGAAGAATTCCCAGGGTATTTTCTGTACTCCCATACTCAAGATTTGTAAACACTTGCTTTAAATATAGAGTAGGGTCTGGTCAGCAGTTAACTCTTCAGTCTTAGTAAGGTCCTGCAGAAACCACGTGTTAACATTATATTTGAACACTTCACGCCGGGTGAAGCCCCACCTTCCCAAGCCCCCCAGAGTTTGCAGATTTTCAAGAAAAGTTCATAATAAAAGAACTAAGGTTTGGGAGCAGGCAGATACATATTGCTAAAGTAGATGAAATAAAAGTCTTATATCAATATTTAATTAATCTGACAGTGCCATGTACAGTTCAAAACAACAGCCCCACCATCTATGAGATATGTGGATTGTACAGTACAGCACTGCTATTTTCAAGCTGTGATTTACAATGTTTACGAAGCACCAAGGCTATAAAGGCCATCGTGCCTCCCAGCAGCTCCTCCTCAAAGCTTCCTTTAAAGCATTTATAACCAAGCAGAGCAAGCAGCTGAACCATGGTTTGTGTTACGTTCAGCTGCACATTTCTCTTCACTCTTGTACCCAGCAGAGTCGCCTGACGCAGAGCTGCCTCCTTTTGTCTCCACAGCTTAGCTACTAGAGCTATCTGAAGCGTCTGGAACCACCTGGACTTTGAGTGCGATACAGCATCAGGCTGGCTGCAGGAGGCCTGATCCTGCCTGTAACCCAAGCTTCTGCTGCTGCGC